GGTAGGCAGTATAGGTGGGGAACTGGAAGTACCTTCTTCAAAGGTCCTCCTACGTGGTCTAGCTTCCCTCCTATTCCAGGGACCCTGTGATCTCAACTGCTGCCACTCCTTCTTCCTCTGTACTCCAGCCACAAAAACATCTGCTTCTTGCTGCCTCTCAAACATACTGTAGATGCTCCTACCTCAGGACTTTTGTACTTGCTGTCACCTCTACCCAAAATGCTCTTTCATCACTGGGTATCTGCATCTCTCCTGCCTTACCTCTTTAGGGCTTTATCTAAATGTTACAACTTCAGCAAGGCCTTCTTAGTAAAAGGAAGATGGCATCCTCTGATTAGGTGATATGAGGTAACTTTAATAAAGTACTCTTCATAAACGTATGTCAAGGCAAGATATGGTGGTAGATGCCTGTAATCTCAGCACTTGGGAGGCTGAGGCAAGAGGATTGCTGTGAGTTCTAGGCTAGCCTGGACTACATAGCAAGATCCTGTTTCAAAAAATTATCTATCTATCTATCTATCTATCTATCTATAGGGAGAGAGGGAGAGAGGTATCGGGGTACAGGGAAATAAGAAGGGGTAATGAGGTTCCCCTGGTCTACTACAGCTCCAGACCTGAAGGCTTGAGGCAAGAACAGTGTTCTCAGAGTCAGGTGCTCTCAATAGGAACAGCCTCCTGTATCGGCTGAGGCTTTTGCAGGAAGGATGAGAGATGCTGACCTCACTTGTGGCCCCCTCTGCCCTCTTGCCTCCTGATAGGAGGCACACCCCAAAGCAGCCACACCCAAAGCAGCCCAAAGGTAAGCGGGGCCCTTCATGATGTTCATGTCAGCCTCCAGGAAGAAGGTGAGTGTTGGGGGTGATGGTGGAAGATATCCAACACGCAGTCTAAAATACTGACATACGTACTCTTATTTCTTCTCCCTGCTTTATTTTCTTCCTTCGCACTTCCATCTAAACTGTGGTATCTTTCACTTGTTAATTTTCCATCTCCCTCCACAAGGTATAAACTGCACAAGGACAAGGACTTTTTTATCTTCATTCACTGCTGTATTTCCAGCAGCACCCAGACTGATGCCTAGAAAATAACATGTTTTCTTGTTTTTACTTTTCATTTTACTGGTACACTTTAGATGTACATAATGGTAATATTCAACATAGGGAATGTGTCCCTGTACATGATATATCTTGCTTCTTTTTAACATGTCTTCAGTTAAGTGTTTCATTTTGCTTTATGAGATGGGTTATGCAGGCTGGCCTCTAATTCCTGGGCTCAAGTGATATTCCTGTCTCAGCCTCCTTTGTGCTGGGACTAGAGGCATGCACCACTATATCAAGCTTCAATAAAGATTTTTTTCTAGCTGGGGATGGTGGCACATGCCTGTAATCCCAGTACTTGGGAGGCCGAGGCAGGAGGATCGCTGTGAGTTCAAGATCAGCCTGGGCTACACAGTGAGCTCCAGATCAACTACATAATGAGACCCTGTCTCAAACCGCCTCCACTAAAGATATTTTTTCTCTACTGGGGATGTAATCTAGGACTTATGCACTGAACTGCATCCCCAGATTTTTTGTTTTTGAGACACAGTCTCTCAAAGTTGTCCACATTGGGCCCAAACTTGGAGCCCTCCTGCCCCAGCCACCCAGAGTGTTGAGATTACAGGCATGTGCCACCTCACCCAGCTCAAAAGATTTTTTTGAGTAGAGAAGGTTGTTACCTTGTTGTGACAGGCAGAATAATACTCCTGAGTAGATTTACATGAAAAGCCTTAGAATCTATGAATATGTTTGCTATGTGGTGCAGGGAAATTAAGGATGCAAATGAAATTAAGGTTAATCTCATGACCTTAAAACAGGGAGATTGTCTTGGATTATTTTAGTGGACCAAATGTCCTGGAATAGACAATTGCTTTTATCTATATGTCCCCCTAAAGCCTTATGCAATCACAGGTGGGGAGTCATGAAGGTGGCTGATTATGGTGTGTGAATGTGGATTAAGGGTGTGATACTAGAATTAAGGGTATGGATAATGGAAGTCCCACCTTTGGTGTGAGTGGCATCGATCAATAATACAGCCTGGATGGCATACAAAGGGAGAGAGGAAACTAGGCTGGCTGCTGCCCCTGCTGCTTGCTGCCTTCTGCCTGCCCTGCCACACCATGAACTGTTTCTTCTCTGCCATGCTGCCCTGTCTTGGAACCAGACAACTATGGACTGAAACCTTTACAAACTGTGAGCTGAAATAAATTTTTTTGCCTTTAACTTTGGGTGTCTAATATTTTGTCTCAACAATGAGAAAAGTAAGACAGAATCAGAAAGATTTAAACATGCTACACTATTGCTTTGAGGATAGAAAGGTGGGGGCACAAACCAAAGAATATAAGCAGCCTCTGAAAGCTGGACACTGCAGGAAAACAGATTTTCCCCTGTCTTAGTCACTTTCTTGTCACTGAGAACAATACCTGACACCTGCAACTTGTTTTGGTTTTTTGAGACAGAGTCTCACTATGTAGTTTAGGCTAGCCTTGAACTCGTGGTGATCTTCCTGCTTCAGCTTCCCAAGTGCTGGGATTATAGGCATGCACTACCACACCTGGCTTGACACCTGTAATTAAAGGAGGAGGGATTTCTTTGTCTCATAGTTTCAGTGGGTTAATTTCATGGTTGGCTGGCTCTAAGGTGGAAACAGCATAGTGGAAGGGACCAGTGGAGGACAGCTGCACACAACATGGTGGTCAAGAAGCAAAGTGAGAGGAGGAGACAGCGACAGGGATACACCCTTCCAGATCATGCACCCAGTGATTTGTGTCTAGCCAGGCCCCCACCTCCTAATAGCACACTCAACTGCTAAACTCATTAGTGGGTGAATCCATGGATGAGTATATCATCCCCATAATCCAATCACCTTCTAAAAGCCCCACCTCTGAATGCATGATAGTTTTGGGAGACATTCTAGATATAAGCCATAACGTTCTATCCCACACGCTCAAAAGACTCATGTACCTCTCCATTCAAAATGAATTTAGTCCATTTCTAAGAGTATCCTAAGTTTCAGCATTGCTGAAAAGGCCAAGTCCAAAGTCTCTTCTGGGACTCAAGGACAACTTTTAGCTTTCTTTTTGTTTTGCTTTTTTTTTGAGGGGGGAACGGGGATCGAACTTGGGTCCTTGCTCTTGCGAGACAGACGCCAGAACCACTGAGCTAAATCCCTGGCCCTCAACTTTTAGCTTTGAGCCCCTATAAAAATCAAAAGAAAGTTAAATATTCCTAACATACAATGGTACAGGGTAAACATTCCCTTTTCAAAAGGGAGAAATGGGAGGACAGAAAGGAAACAGACCACAGTAAGATTGAAACTTAGCAGGGAAAAATGTTCAATCTTGTAGCTCCAATCCAGTACCCCGGGCAAGTGGTGACAAGATATGAACTCCAAAAGGCTTGAGCAGCCTCTCCTCTGTGGTGTTTGCTTTACTCTCTGCCTACAGCTTTCCTCAGATGTTCCACATTCCTGTTATCTCCAACTTCCTGGGGTCTCCACTGTGGTTTTTTACCTCATTCTCACAGATTCACACACTACCCTCTCAGGGGCACAATGTCTGGACTTCTGGGCCTTCTAAAATCTGAGTGGAAGGCTTCCTGACTTCATAATTCTTCTAAATAATGCTTTCTGCAATCCCGTAAAACCAGCACCATGTGGATGATGCCAAGGTCTACCACCAGCTTGAGAAGTAGCCCCTTAAGATCATGACTGCAGTGACCTGAGTGCCTGGATAGCTGAGCTCTGGGAAACTTTTCCCTAGTTAGGCCTGAACAAGCTGGAGTCCTGGGGTACTCTTCTCAAAGCAGTCTTTCACTTTTGTATCCTTGAACCAACAAAGGTAGGATCTTGCTGATTCCTGAGATGCCCTCAAGGCATCTTCCCTATTGTCTCAATGCAAAATACTTGGTTTCTTTTTAATGTTAATCTTTTCAACAATAATGCCTTAATTTCCCCCAATTTTGCAGGTACTTCCTTTCTGTTGACACCACACTTATTGCATCTTTTGGCTCTAATATTTGCTCCTAATTCTCTCTATAAGCCTGGTTGAAAGCAGGCAGAAGTATCCATGCGATAGCCTGAACATCAGGTTGTCTTGAAATTTCCTCCAATAGATTAATTAGTTTACCACCTTTAATCTCAGTCTACCACTGAGATTTTTTAAATTCATGAATAAAAGGTAGACAATTTTTCTTTCAAGCATATAACACATGATCTATAGCCCAAGTACCAATGGAGCCTTTGTTCCCAACTGAAAACTTCTTCTACTGTTTGCACTTCTACCACTAGTCTGGTCTTCTGAGCTCTAACCAATATCACACACTAACCACTGCTCACAGTATTCCAGGGCTTCTCTAGCCTGTGATAGAGTTATCTACCAGACAAAATGGCCCTAGTGGTCCTACATTCTAAAATGGCTCTCGTTCCTAAAATGGTTCCCGCTTAGGGAAATGAGCCACTTTGGAAAAGTGAGACCTACCCACTCTGGAGAAGCAAAACCCAATTTGTTGCTCCACCTGCTATCCACGTGGTCCTCTCCTTCCAATCACGGAGGGTCCTGTTGCTCAACTCTCATGATATTTTCCCCACTGCACTACACTATCTAAACACCACCCCAGTTAGTCTTGCCCTCTCTGGCCATTGTTCGAGGTAGCCCTGCAGCTCCTTCCCAATAAAGCCTTGCCTCAGGTGCTCCTGTGTTGGCTAGTTTTCTTTTCTTTTCTTTCTTTCTTTTTTATTGTACCAGGGATTGAACTCGGGACCTTGCCTTTGTGAGGCAGGCCGTAGAACCACTGACCTAAATTCCCAGCCCTAAATTCCCAGCCCTCAGCTCATTTTCTTTCAGCCTGCTTGTCCAAATTTTTCCAAATTTCTCCCACAAACAAGTTCCAAAGGCTTCTAAACCACATGATCAGGTATCCTCATGGCAACGACCCCACGTCTCTCTAAAATCTGTTTTATCGCTTTTCTTGTGAGTGAGACATAATACCTGACACCTGCAACTTAAAGGAAGAGAGGTTTATTTTGGCTCACAGTTTTAGTGGGTTCATTCCCTGGTTGGCTGGCTCAGAGGCAGAAACGGCATTGTAGAAGGGGTCCAGTGAAGGGCAGCTGTTCATAACATGGTGGTCATGAACAGAGCAATGGGAAGAGTCAGGGAGAGAGATACACCCTTCGAGGCCACACCCCCAGGGACGCACCTCTCACCAGGCCTTACCTCAAAGGATACTCAGCTGTGAACTCATTCTGGATGAATCTACTGATGAGTATCATGCTTCCTGAGCCAATCACCTCCAAAAACTTTGCTTGTGAGCACATGAGAGTTTGGGAGGACATCTTAGATCTAAACTGCAATGCTCCCCTAAGTTCAACAGAAAGGAACATGGCTCTATTGACAGCTTGATTTTAATTCAAGGAGACTGATTTTATTACTTCCAGCCTCTAGAACTATAAGATGAAAAATGTGTCATCTCAAATTTGGTATTGTTTTAAGACACTGAGTCTGTGGTTATTTGTGGCAGCCATCATAGGAAACCAATACACTGGCCTTTCTTTTCAATAGCAGAAGCACAGGCTCTGGGGACTGCTGGTGCTATTCTTCTGCCCCTCCTTAGGGAGGGAATTTACACTTTCAGTTTCTGTGTAAATGCAATTATGAATTGCTCCTTCCCCACAGATGGTGAGTGGGTGCAGGTGGGTGGACTGGGTGAGCTGAGGATACAGGTAACATCCATGGCTTAGAGCCTGGCCTCCTGGAGACCCACTTCCAGGCCACAAGACCTGCAGGTGTGGGGCAGGTCACATATTTATAGAGTGGTAAATACTTTTCATCAAATGATGTTCTAGAACTGAGGATTTAGCTCAGTGGTTCTGCTGCCTGCCTTGCAAGTGCAAGATCCTGAGTTCGATCCCTGGAACACCCCCCCCACCAAAAAGATGTTCCATAATAGAACATCTATTTTCTGTTTTTAGATTTCCCCCTATAAGTATTTATTTATTTATTTCTGGAGGTGCTGGGGATTAAACTGAGAGCTTTCCCACCGAGCTACAACTCCAGCCTTTTATTTTATTATTTTGAGATAGGGTCTCACTAAATCACTAAGTTGCCCAGGCTAGGGTCAGACTCAATCCTCCTGCCTCAGCCTCCCAGAGTGCTGGGATTACAGGTATGCACTGCATGGCTTTCTGACCATTATAAATAAAATTTGATAATCTCTTTGTGCATAGTGATTTTTTTTATTAGTCTTCCTACTTCTTTAAAACAAGAGCCCAAGCTGGGTGTGGTTGCGCATGCCTGTAATCCCATCCCTCGGGAGGCTGAGGCAGGAGGATCACTATGAGTTCAAGGCCAGCCTGGGCTACACAGTGAGAGCCAGGTCAGTCTCAGCTACATAGTGAGACCCTGTCTCAACACCCCCCACACACAAAAAAAAGAAAGAGCCCAGTGGGCTGCAAGGCTCACAAACACACACACATGTGCTGTAGACAGGGGCCCTCAGAGAAGCTACTCAGCTCAGTGGCACCTGGGCACTGCCTCCCATGTAGCAGCTGGGTGGGGCTGGAAGAGGCGAGTGAAGAGGAGGCAGAGGAGAGGCTGTGTCTGGAGGTGGCCCCGTGAATTCTCTTCTTGGGCCAGGCCTCCACAGGTTCTTCCACCAGGGCATGGGAACTGGAGTAGGCCTCAGGAAGGCAGAGCCAGGAGCGTGAGTGGTGGTGCTGGAAACTTCTCCCTGATGCAAGATTGGTGTGGAGGCCAGTTCAGCAGCTCCGGGCTGTGCCAAACAGGGTGAGTGCATCCAAACCTCCCTCCCTCCTGGTACGCATCCAGGATGGCTGCTCCCCAGGCCCAGGAGGCTGCACACCCACAACCTAGGCAGGGAGGCCGGGCTTCTCCACACATCTGGGGAGGTGGGAGAGCCAGAGCCCTGAGTGGGCAGCGGACAGAGGAAGCAGGAAACTCAGCTCCAGCCTTCTACCGCGCAGACCACTCTGGAGGAGCACGTATTGCCACCTCGGTGCGGCTTCCAGCTGGTGCCCTTAAGACCAGCAGGACCTGGGTTTGCAGGGAAGAGGAGGGAGGGGGTTGTGAAGTGAAGCCAGCCTGAGAACAAAGGAGGCTTTGCGGAGAGGGAGGCACCTTCCACTAAGGCCTCAGGGCCTGGGGAAGTGACTCACTGCGCCCCCGGGATGGACCCACCCATGGGGGCTCCGTAGGGCAGAGCTGCCCAGGCCTCATGGGGTGGGGTAGGGGTTGGTGGTCAGGCTCAGGCGTCAGTGGGTGGGGCTCCCCCCCAGCTCGGGACCTGGTGTGAGTCCAGCCCCGGGCGTTGGGGAAGGCCCCGTACCTCATTAGGCACTGCCAGGAGGGGCTGCTGCCAGTGCCGCCACCGCTGCCCGGGGCTGCAGGCGTGGTCCCCTCCTCCCTCCCGCGCCCAGCAGGGAGCCGGGCTCTCCAACTCCCCAGAGACACGTTGCCCCTCTGTCAGAGCGAGGCACCAGTGCCACCCGAAAGTGGCGTCCTGCTGTCGCGAACGCAATAGATGAGAACTTGCTGAGAACTCGGAGAGCCTCACCGCTGCACGCCTCGGCTTCTCTGGCAGTTGCACAATCTCCTTTCAATTATTCTCCGTAGAGTATGTGGCAACCGGGCGAGAATTCCAGGACCTTGTACTTACTCGTACAAAGCTGCCTTCCTGCTGTTTGGCTGCCGGGCCAGGCGTGGCTCTGTGGGCCCCGGGAAATGGGGGTGTGTTCTCGTCCAAGAGGGCGTGGCCCGCGTCCGCAGCTGGAGCCGCCACCCTGCCCCGCTGGCTGGCCCCAAACCGCAGCTTCTTCGGGAGCCCTGGACCAGGGCCAGGACACTGAGGAGGAAGCTCTGGTGACATTCTCGACATGGGCTTTGAGCAGCAGTCTTGGCCTACAGCAATCCCCAGCTAGTGATTTTTTTTTCCTTCTTTTTTTAGTGGTATTGAGGATTGGTATTTTGCCTTGAGCTACATCCCCTGTCCTTTTTATTTTGAGACAGGATCTGCTAAATCACTAGGTTTCCCCGGGCTGGGCTCAAACTTGTGATCCTCCTGCCTCAGCCTCCTGCATAGCTGGGATTACAGGTGTTCACCACCATGCTTGGGTTAGCCAGTGATTTCTTTGTAAGTAGCATCCCAGGGTCAGCTCCTGATGACCCAGCTGTTACTTTTAGGCCATGGCTCTGGGTCAAGGAAGGGCATTGTCCTGCTCAGCCAGGGGGCCAAAGGACGGCTGTCAGGACTGGCTGTTCTGAGTGATGGAAATAAAACTCCAAATGCAGCTGTCCTGCTGCCCCTGTCCTTTGTGCTTTCCCCAGGGAGTGTGCCTACCTCTTTCTCTGGGCCTCTCATTAGAATTTCTGAGAAGCCTCTTTTGCTGTGGAGATGCTAGTGTCCAAGCCTCAGAGATTGTTGGCTCTATAAGCAAGTCTTGGATCCTGGGGTGATCCATGTTTGGTGTTGGAACAAACTTGGAAACTCTATTATGGTTTTTCTCCTGGATAACTTTACAGAGCCTCAAGTAAACACTTGAAAGTGAACAAGTTAGCCCTGTGGACTGTCACCATCTGAGCCCCTACAGTGGCTGGCACAGGCTGGCTAACAGTAACTGGAGCTTGCTTTTGCAGTGCTCCGGGAAGATAAGATCTCTGTATCAAACAGGGACCCTTCGGATAACTGATGTCCAAAATCTCCATGGCCACCTCAGCCCACTTTTCCAAGGCACAGTTTTATGACTGGCTCCCAAGTAGCATACATTCTATCCAGCGAGTCTTTCCTCTGGAGGTGGAGCTGAGAGTAAGGGTGGAGGTGACAGAAAGGGAGGCCTCTTTCCTGTGGCCAAACAGCTACCAATGGGCAGCTGTGGCAGGATGCACACCCACCCACCCCACCCCA